GCTATCAATCACCTCTATTGGCGTGACATCTGGATAGGGAACATCAATAAGAAGATGATCTATTTTTGATTCAGAGTCAACCGCAGTTGATTGACTTTTACAAATTTCTTGAGCTTCTTCTTCAGTGATTTCAACTATCGATGGCATTTCTGCTGGACTATTATCTTCTGCGCTTTGTCTCCTTCGGCTAACTTGTTCATATCTGCCTACATTTTGCCTGTACATCTCATGGCAGTTGCAGTAATGTTTGATGGTCCTCATTAGGTAGACGCCCAAACCCGGTTTGATTTCTTCCGGCAGACTGTCGAGATAAAGAAGCACTTGCCAAAAGCAGGCGATGTTGTTTTCATTAAGAACTGCAAAGATGGAATAGGTTGCAAAGCAGAAAAAAAGTACAACAAACAAACAATAACTTACAGAAGTTTTCCTTGATTCGCGTAAATTGATCATATATCTCTTGTTGTTCCTGGTAAGTACCGCCATTTTGNTCGAGATAAAGAAGCACTTGCCAAAAGCAGGCGATGTTGTTTTCATTAAGAACTGCAAAGATGGAATAGGTTGCAAAGCAGAAAAAAAGTACAACAAACAAACAATAACTTACAGAAGTTTTCCTTGATTCGCGTAAATTGATCATATATCTCTTGTTGTTCCTGGTAAGTACCGCCATTTTGGTTTCCAGGTGAGATCATAGCTTTGCAGTTTGAGTTTAAGATTGTTTTTTTCAAAAGCAACAACCTTTTGTTTTGAAGTTATAAAATCAGGAGCGCTGGTGGCGCCTTTTTTGNCAAACAATAACTTACAGAAGTTTTCCTTGATTCGCGTAAATTGATCATATATCTCTTGTTGTTCCTGGTAAGTACCGCCATTTTGGTTTCCAGGTGAGATCATAGCTTTGCAGTTTGAGTTTAAGATTGTTTTTCTTTCAAAAGCAACAACCTTTTGTTTTGAAGTTATAAAATCAGGAGCGCTGGTGGCGCCTTTTTTTTAGTTAGAGATGAATTCTTTCAAATCGTCCTCTTTGAATGAAGTTGGCTTACTCGCCCGTGCTGGACTTGTGTTCATCTTTTACCTTTTTCTATGTGATACCTTACCTTTTACATCTCCAAATGGATTCATTAAACAATCTCATTGAAGTAATTGCAATTAATGATACGGACGAAGAGAGTGGAGGTAAAACTGAAGAAGAATCCGAGGATGAATCGGAAGACTTTTTGGCTTTCGTCCATCAAGTCCAGTCAGGCGAGTTAGCAAGAAAGAATGACGTCAAGATTAAAGTAAAAAATTGCTGAAACTGGTTTTGGCTTTTAACTTCTAACATGTTTTTTCGTTCTTAGTCTGATTTTATATCTTCATTTCAAGTANATACCTTACCTTTTACATCTCCAAATGGATTCATTAAACAATCTCATTGAAGTAATTGCAATTAATGATACGGACGAAGAGAGTGGAGGTAAAACTGAAGAAGAATCCGAGGATGAATCGGAAGACTTTTTGGCTTTCGTCCATCAAGTCCAGTCTGGCGAGTTAGCAAGAAAGAATGACGTCAAGATTAAAGTAAGAAATTGCTGAAACTGGTTTTGACTTTTAACTTCTAACATGTTTTTTCGTTCTTAGTCTGATTTTATNTGGTTTTGGCTTTTAACTTCTAACATGTTTTTTCGTTCTTAGTCTGATTTTATATCTTCATTTCAAGTAAAAAGTCCAAATGAAAAAACGTTGCCTCAGATGTAAGAATGACAAATGTTTATTTTCTACATTCAAGTAATCCTTTATCATTTGATTTTAAAGGAAAAATTTTCACTTTACTAAACGAAATATGTGCTTTGAAATGATAAATAAAGCGAGTAATAGCACTCTNAAAAAGTCCAAATGAAAAAACGTTGCCTCAGATGTAAGAATGACAAATGTATATTTTCTACATTCAAGTAATCCTTTATCATTTGATTTTACAGGAAAAATTTTCACTTTACAAAACGAAATATGTGCTTTGAAATGATAAATAAAGCTAGTAATAGCACTCTTCCAACTATAAAACCTGATATCAGTGGAAAGAAGTTTAACTTTATGAATTTGCTTTGTCCTATCTGCTATGTATTCGATTGCTCGATGCACAAAAGTAACTGTATTTTTTTGTTAATGCTTTTTAATTGTAAAACTTTTCATTCTTTTCAGAACATGAATATTTTCAGACTCCCGAGCAGACACTTTCAAACGAAGACGAATCATCTTTGATTACGGAGCCTTGTGGGAAGGACTGTTTCGTAAATATCCGCAATGACAATCCACAAGCCAACTCAGTCAAGCTGGACGCGGGTACCCAAGAGATGCTTGAACTGCTTATCCCAACATTTAAACGGGCCTACTGTAGCATAGTACCAGTTTTGGGAAGACCCGAGTGCACTTGCAAGGATGTGTATCTCTTTGATGTTAATTTGCGGAAATGCAAAACGGAATCATCTTTAGATGCTGCTGATTCCATTACAGTCAAAGTCGATCAAAGCTCCACAGTGCCTAAAACTCGTCGAAAAAGTTATCAGCGATACATGTACTCAATTAGTTCGCGGCGTTTTGGTAAAGAATCATCTCGTGACTTTGCCCGTTACTCCTGTAGCCACCCGGGAAAAAATTGCAATGATGAAGAGGCGAACTGTCCATGTTATCTTCTGGGTAAATCAACAGTCATTTAGTTAGTTCTCTAAACTTACAATTTATTTCTTTGTTTCCTAACAGCTACTCCTTGTGAGAAATCGTGCTTCTGTCCAGTGGACTGTCGACAACGTTTCATAGGGTGCTCGTGCAGAGGAGACGGCCCCAGCTGCTGCTCCAGTAAAGCCTGCCTGTGCTATGATTCTGGCCGTGAGTGCGACCCAGACGTCTGTATCTCTTGCGGAGCTGACAACGCCGAAAGTAAAAGCTGTCTGAATGTGGCCATTCAAAGGGAACTGAGCAAGTCTCTCAGTGTGAAGCCTTCCAGTGTCCACGGTTGGGGGGCCTTTGCAGAGGAGACAGTGGAAAAGGGCGACTTCATTTGCGAGTACATCGGCGAGCTCATCACCAAAGACGTCGGCGAGAAGCGTGGAATTAAGTACGCTGAACTAAAGTCCAATTACATCTTCAGTTTGGATAATGGTAAGAAAAATGGCCGGAACTTTTTTCGACTGCTACTTTTATTGTTATCAAATCCCCTTTTTCAGAGCACGACATTGACGCAACTGCGATTGGAAACGAGACACGGTTCATCAACCACTCAACAACGCAGGCAAACTGCTGTTCAATGATCAAGTTTGTCAATGGCGAAAATCGAGTTGGCATTTACGCATCCAAGCGCATTGAAGAGCACAGTGAGCTGTTCATGGATTACCGCTATGACGATTCGGACACTGAAATTTATGGCTTTTCTAAACACTAAAATTTTCCAATGACATTGAAAATAAAATCTGTAGCTGAAAAGAGGCTCCATTAACTACAAAGGGGTTTGTCTGGATAAAGACTGTCAACTGCATTAAAAGTAGATTAGATGACTTTGATTGATGTTTTAAAACTAGTCCGACAGAGTACTAAGTTTACTTTTGACAGCAACTACTTTTCAATCTGACTGACAAGGCCGATAACATTTGGATCG